CATTTTGTCCAGCAGTTCCAGAGGAGGAGGAGGTATTTAAGTGAACAGCTACACACACACACACACACACACACACACACACACACACACACACACACACACACACACACACACACACACACACACACACAGGTGGGGGACACAGGTGGAGACTGAGTACCCAGATGAGCCACAGGGACGTTAGAAAGAACTTTTTCAGTGTCAGAGTAGTTGACAAATGGAATGCATTAGGCAGTGATGTGGTGGAGGCTGACTCCATACACAGTTTCAAGTGTAGATATGATAGAACCCAATAGGCTCAGGAACCTGTACACCAGTTGATTGACGGTTGAGAGGCGGGACCAAAGAGCCAGAGCTCAACCCCCGCAAACACAACTAGGTGAGTACACACACAAACACACACACAGACACAGACACACACACACACACACACACAGACACACACACACACACACACACACACACACCCCCCCCACACACACACACACAGACACACACACACACCCCCCCCACACACACACACACACACCCACACACACCCCACACACACCACACACACACACCACACACACACACACACACACACACACACACACACACACACACACACACACACACACACACACCCCACCCACCCACCCACACCCACCCACCCACCCACCCCAGTATATGCACGCAAAGCATCATCACAAGAGACAAAAGACGACATGATGATTCTCTAAACATGACCAAACAGACACGAGTTCACCCCCCACCCCTACCCCCCTACCCCTCCCCCACCCCCCCTACCACCCACCCCCCACACCCCCCACACCCCCCACAACAGCAGCGTGACTCACACTGACGTAGCGCCCCAGCCGACCTCAATACACAACAATAACCACCTTTCATTTTATTAACCTGTAAAATAACACTTCCCCCCCCCCCAGTTCTCTTAATCCGCCACTCCGTCAAAAATGCAACGTTCTTGCCTAACCACAAACCCAACCAACCCACCTAACCTACTGACGGCGATGCATACAGAACGTTAATATTACGGTGGTTTTAATTTGGAGACGAAGGTGAGATACTGGAATTATTACCAACATTAAATTGTTTTTTTTTCTACCACAGACGTGGCCGGACATTTACAATGCTAACCAGCATATATACATTTTCTTCTGTCCTCCATGGACAGGGTTAGAGAAGTGTTAAACATACAGTTCAAGGGTTTATTGAACACTCAACCACAGAAGGTGATTTGGGGATTTTAGAATGCTAAGCTAAGCTACATACGTAAGAAAATAGGATTGATAGCACCACTCCATAAAGGAGGTAGTAAAGCAATTGGAAATTTGCAGACCAATAACTCTAACGTCGTATAAAAATCTTTGAAATGTGTGGTCTTCTAGCATCAGAGGTCCGCGGTTGTTCAACGTCCTCCCAGCAAGCATCTGAAATATTGCCGGAACAACCGTGGACATCTTCAAGAGGGAACTAGATAGTTTCCTCCAAGGAGTGGCGGACCAACCGGGCTGTGGTGGGCCTGCGGGCCGCTCCAAGCAACAGCCTGGTGGACCAAACTCTCACAAGTCAAGCCTGGCCTCGGGCCGGGCTTGGGCAGTAGAACAACTCCCAGAACCCCATCAACCAGGTATATGTGGGCCTGCGGGCCGCTCCAAGCAACAGCCTGGTGGACCAAACTCTCACAAGTCAAGCCTGGCCTCGGGCTGGGCTTGGGCAGTAGAACAACTCCCAGAACCCCATCAACCAGGTATATGTGGGCCTGCGGGCCGCTCCAAGCAACAGCCTGGTGGACCAAACTCCCAGAACCCCATCAACCAGGTATCAAGCCTTTGACACAGTACCACACAAGAGACTAGCGCAAAAGCTGGAGATGCAGGCAGGAATGTAAGGGAAGGTACTCCACTGGATAAAGGAGTACCTAAGCAACAGAAGACAGCGAGTCACTGTGAGGGGCCGAGGAGTTACCAGTGGGATCTGTGCATCTTCCCCTCCCCATAGCAACTGCACCCCCCCCCCTCTACCCCCAACAAGTGTACCCACCTGCCAACACCAGGTGCACTAAGGTAAACTCCTGGTGCAGTAAACCCGACTAATAAGGGGAGACGTACCCAAAGGGTAGTAGTGTCCACTGCTCCTTACAATTCACCTGAAGACGCTGGGCTTAAACCTTAGAAAACCTGCTACTGTTCCTTGGCCCGGCTGACTCATATACCCGTTCCAGACGCTCCTTGCTGCTACTGTGAGTTTACGAAAATAGCATCTCTCCCAGTATACCATAAGTGCTACTGTTGCTATTATTCGCTGCTACTCTGTGCTACTTGGCACGCAAACCAAGCAGTAGGATAATCAGGCCTCTGTAGAACCGTATAATTAGGCCTTGTGAATGGGCCTACTAACCCATTGGGTATTCGGGCGACACCGGAGCTAAGGGTACTACAGCTAGTTGGTTGATAGACGGGTGAGACGGGGGAGAGAGACAGACGGGTGACAGAGAGAGAGAGACAGACGGGTGACAGAGAGACAGACAGACGGGAGAGAGAGACAGACAGACAGACGAGAGAGAGAGAGAGACACAGACAGACGAGAGAGAGAGAGAGACACAGACAGACGAGAGAGAGAGAGAGAGACAGACGAGAGAGAGAGACAGACAGACGAGAGAGAGAGACAGACAGACGAGAGAGAGAGAGACAGACGAGAGAGAGAGAGAGACAGACAGACGAGAGAGAGACAGACAGACAGACGAGAGAGAGAGACAGACAGACGAGAGAGAGAGAGACAGACGAGAGAGAGAGAGACAGACAGACGAGAGAGAGAGACAGACAGACAGACGGGAGAGAAAGAGACAGACAGACAGACGGGAGAGAAAGAGAGAGACAGACAGACGGGAGAGAGAGAGAGACAGACGGGAGAGAGAGAGAGACAGACGAGAGACAGAGCGAGAGACGGGTGACCCATCCTGCATTAACCAGCTGAGACAGCTGGAACTAAGGCAGGCCAACCTGTCCCAGCTGGTTCGCCAATTACTCACACAACTCACCGCTTCTACACTCACTCACAATACTCACAATCCTGGTCCCCACCAGCTCATCTCTCACAACAATGAGTGAATTGCTCTCTCTTGTAGCCCAGCCGTTGTTAAAGATTCGCTACCTGGAATATAAAGTTCAAAGTAGCACGGGCTATGGTGAGCCCGGAGGTCTTTACTGTAGCTGAGCCGTCTCCATCCTCTCTACACACGCGGCCAATGGCTGCATGCCCGCCTGACCTTGAGCAATGCTTTGTACGCGCCCGCCAGCTCGCGCGCGCGCACACAGCTGGTGGAGGCTGACTCCATACACAGTTTCAAGTGTAGATTTGATAGAGCCCGATAGGCTCAGGAACCTGTACACCTGTTGATTGACGGTTGAGAGGCGGGACCAAAGAGCCAGAGCTCAACCCCCGCAAACACAACTAGATACACACACACACACACACAGACATGATCACCACATTCAAGATTCTGAAGGGAATTGATAGGGTAGATAAAGACAGTCTATTTAACACAAGGGGAACACGCACTAGGGGACACAGGTGGAAACTGAGTGCCCACATGAGCCACAGAGATATTAGAAAGAACTTTTTTAGTGTCAGAGTGGTTAACAAATGGAATGCATTAGGGGGTGATGTGGTGGAGGCTGACTCCATACACAGTTTCAAGTGTAGATTTGATAGAGCCCAATAGGCTCAGGAACCTGTACACCTGTTGATTGACGGTTGAGAGGCGGGACCAAAGAGCCAGAGCTCAACCCCCGCAAACACAACTAGGTGAGTACACACACACACACACACACACACACACACACACACACACACACACACACACACTTTCTCCCATGCAAGTCGCATGCAGACTCGAACCACAGGCTGGTGTATCAAGAAGATTACTCAAGAGGGTGAAGAAATGCCTCTTACCAAGAGTAAGTCATACTAAGAAGAGAGTTGTTAGCACGGAGAGGTTAACGACTGGAGTGTCTCAACAGTCTAAACGGACTAGTTAGTTAAGCAAGCTCATTCTTATCCAAGTTTGCTGACGATGTTAAGCTAATAAGGGAGATTCGGACCTGAGGAGGACTGCAAACCCTATAACATTATCTGCACAATCTCCAGAAATGGTCTGAGAAATGGCTGCTAGACTATAGTCCTGACAAATGCAAGGTTATGAAGATAGGAACTGGAGCAAGGCCAAAGACTTCCAAGATCCTGAGCTAAAGGGCCCGAGCTATGAAGAAAGACTGAGAGAACATTCCTCCACTACACAGGACGAATGAAGGAATAGGGCAGACATGATAACGACGTACACGATACTAAGTAGGGGGGATTGACAAAGGAAACATGTAAGCAAAATGCTCACATTCAGAAACAGCAGAACGTGACGACATAACTGGAAACAGGAAACACAGATGAGTCACAGGGATGTCAGAAAGATCTTTGTCAGTCTCAGAGTCGTAAATAGTGGAAAGAACTTCACGAGGAAATTGTCGAAGGCAATACGATATACAACGTACACCCACCCACACACACACACACACACACACACACACACACCCCCACACACACAACACACCCACCCCCCACACACACAACACACCCCCCCCCACACACACACCAACCCCACCCCCCACACACACACCTACACACACACACACACACATACAACACACAACATGCCCACCCCCACACACAACACACCCACCCCCCACACACAACACACCCACCCCCCACACACAACACCCCCCCCACACACACACCTACACACACACACACACACAACACACCCCCCACCCACCTACACCCCCACACACACACCCACCCCCCACACACACACACACACCACCCCCCACATCGTGGCAAGACAGGAGACGTATATATACACACAAGAAAGGTTGAGACCCTGAGCCCCCACAGTGGAAGATCACACCCTTACAACCGAGCCCAACACTGCAGCAGTGACTTACCTCTTCTGTTGCACTGTTGTCAGCACTGTTGTCGCTGCTGTTGCTGCTGCTGTGGGCCTTCTGCATGAGGTACCGCAGCCGCAGGGAGGGGGTGATGGGGCAGTCCTCCCCCCTACCCTCCAACCCGCCCCTCCTCACCCGAAACGTTTCTTTCCGGATGAGCCGCGACCCGGAGCGGGGTCTGACCGGGTGCTCTTCCGCCCTCAGGAGCCGCCCACCCGTCCTGTCGCGGGCGGCCGGCTTCCTGGGCGGCGGGGGGGTACTGTGGGGCATGGGGCCCATGGGTATGCTAATGGTGGTAGCTAGGACAGGTGGGTGTAGGCCGTGCCCACCCCGCCCGAGGCTTGGGAGGGTGTGGGCGTCTCCCCCGCCCACTTGCACGCGGCTCCGATGTTTCTTATTTTCCTTATTACTGCCGGAGCTTGTGGGCGTGGTACGCCCGGGTGTTAGTGGGGTGGGCGTGGTGTGCCCGGGTGTTAGGGTGGGCGTGGGCGGCTTCAGAGGCCTTCTGGGCTTGAGTATAGACATACGTGAGGAACTGATCTTCCTGTTGGGCTTCAGGTGGGCGGGGTTGTTGTAGTGGTCGATGAGGACGGCTACGGTGCCCTGCTCCTTGTCCCGCCCACGCCAGTGGGCGTGGGCGGCTCCCATTCCACCCTGACTAGCGCGCCCTGTGTCTCGTGTGGGCGTGGAGGGCGGGTGGGCGTGCAGGGGAAGGGTGGAGAAGCCCCCACCTCGCGACAATCTACACGTGGGGGCGTGACACCCACTGCTGTTACACCCACTACACATGGTGTAGGCCCCGCCCACGCCGCCCACCCCCGCCCCATGCTCCAGGTTCTTAAGGTTCATATTGAGAGTATTGACACTGTGCAGGTAGTGATGCCACTCTTGTTGACCCTGCGGCACCTGCGGCACTGCCGCCTGCGTCAACCCGCTCACGCCCGAAGACGAGGAGTCCGAGGACATCTTGCGGGCGTCCCTCCTGGCGTGGGCGTCCCTCCTGGCGTGGGCGTGGCGCCCTACCTCAGGCTCGCTCTCAGCCCCAGATGTGTACACACTTTCCCGCCCACACCTTCCCTTTCTTGCCGCAGGCTTACTGGGCCGCGCGGGCGCCTTCTTGACGGGCTGCGGCGTCCTCAGCCCGTTGACAGCCGCCTGCGGCACCCTAAGCCCGTTGACAGCCGCCTGCGGCACCCTAAGCCCGTTGACAGCCGCCTGCGGCACCCTAAGTCCGTTAACAGCCACCTGCGGCACCCTAAGTCCGTTAACAGCCGCCTGCGGCACCCTAAGCCCGTTAACAGCCGCCTGCGGCACCCTAAGCCCGTTAACAGCCACCTGCGGCACCCTAAGCCCGTTGGCCGCAGGCAGGAGCTTAATATTGAGTGCGGCCAAAATGTCAGACTTCAACTTGGCCGCAGGTGACTCGTCCCTGGGGTTAGGGGGGGGAAGGGTCCTGTCACGCCTCCCCCTGGGGGTCCTGTGTGGGGGGTCGTGCCCCCGGGGGAGGGTGTTGGCGGGGGGCGGCTGCGACCTGCCCCTCTGCCCGCCCCCCCTGCCCTCCTCAGCCCTCAGGGGCGGCAGCTGGGAGCGGTTGGTCCTGTCCCTTCCCCTAGGGAGTCCCAGAGACTCCCTGGGGGTCAAGAAGGGGCTGGGGTCCCTTGGGGTCGAGGGGCTGGGGTCCCTTGGGGTCTTGACGGAGCTGGGGGCCTTGACGGGGCTGGGATTCCTAGGGGTCACGGGGCTCTGGTCCCTAGGGGAATGTGCCCCCTGACGTCGGCCGCGGCTCAGGTCCCGCATGCGGCTGGTGTCCCTGGCCGCAGTCCGCTCCAGTATCCACGGCTGGTGTGCCTCCCGCATGCGGCTGTTGTCCCTGAGCCGCAGTCCCTGCTCGCCCGCACGTCGCTCTTTGCCAGGACTGGCCGCCCTCTTCCTGCTTTTGCTGCGGCGTGGGCGTGCGGGCGGCGGCTGCGGCACCATCACATTCTCCTTCTGCTGCGTCATGTCTGCGTCTTCCGCCTGCGGCACCTCCGCCAGGCACACGGGGGTGTCGAGGTGCGGCACGAGCGCTGATGCCGTGGCCACCGCTAGCTGCGGCTGCGGGCTATTGAAGAAGGAGGCTTCCTTGAGTGGCAAACGCCTGCCGGAGGCCGCATGCGGCGCCTGGAGGGTCACGTGATCCAGCACCAACGGCAGGCTATGGCCGACCTTCTCCTGCAGGCGACGCATAAGCTGCCGCAGCCTGCGGGAGGGGGTCACTCCCGCACCCTCCCGCCAGCCCGCATCCTGCGGCTCGACAAACCCTGTGCCGCAGTCCGCACTCTGGGGTCGCTTCCCCTGTCCTGCGCCCCGTGGCTTCCTGTCACTCACACAGCCCTGTGAGACGTCACTCGCACAGCCCTGAAGGGCGTCACTGGCACAGCCCTGAAGGACGTCACTCGCACAGCCCTGAAGGGCGTCACTGGCACAGCCCTGAGAGACGTCACTCACACAGCCCCGAGGGGCGTCACTCACACAGCCCTGAAGGCTGTCACAGCCCTGAGGGCCGCCCTGGCGCAGCCCACCAACAAACTGCGCTAGACCGGTGTCGTCGTCAAGGCGAAGTAGCGTCTCAGAATATCCCGAAGACGTATGGAGTCGTGTAGGGTCGTCCCCGGCTCCTGACGACGACGACAACGACGTCCACAGACCGCTGTCCGACGACTGGTCCGACAGGGGCGGTGAGGGACGACGGGGCGGCGAGAGACGGCGCCACACTCCGTCCTCCACGACGGTACAGGAGACACTGGCAGACCCGTTACCCACCTGCCCGGGCCTGCCCTGCCGCTCCCCCTGCCCGGGCACGGGCACGCATAGGGTATACGACACGGGCACCAGGAAAACTGTCTGCGGGGTGACAAGTGCCCGGGGCGCTGTCAATGATGCCATCTGTCATGCCCCGCCTCGGGTGTAGGGGCACGTGGCAGGGGGGGTGGGCACGTGGCAGGGGGAGGGGGGTGGGCACGTGGCAGGGGGAAGGGGGTGGGCACGTGGCAGGGGGAGGGGGGGTGGGCACGTGGCAGGGGGAGGGGGGGTGGGCACGTGGCAGGGGGAGGGGGGTGGGCACGTGGCAGGGAGGTAGGCACGAGGCAGGGGGGGTAGGCACGAGGCAGGGGCGGGCTGCCCCCCTCACACAACAGGTGTTAAAAGGCGAGGGGGCGCTTAATGGGGGGCGATGGGGGGCGGGAGGGGGCGGGAACCTGTGCTTCAGTGCCCATCATCACATGACAATAACACCACGTGCTCAGACGGGGGACGGGTAAGCACGTGACCTGGGGGAGGGTTAGAGTACGTACTCACAATACAAACAGGACCTCTGGTCCATCTTCCAGCCGTCACTATACTCCGTCACTATACTCCTTCACCATCACTCACCATCACACTATCTGTCCACAATAGTGAGCTGAGCGACCTCTCAACACCCCCAAGACCCTCCACTTGCGTCGTCAACAACGTACTGAAGACGTCGTCAACAACGTACTGAAGACGTCGTCAACAACGTACTGAAGACGTCGTCAACAACGTACTGAAGACGTCGTCAACAACGTACTGAAGACGTTGTTAAACACAAACAAACACAAACTTCACTGTTTAGTCCATTATATAATCTCCTTCAAAACACTTTCCTTTTCTGATGGCGGAATAAATCACACAAAATTATTCAAGTTCTCGAACAAATAAAATATTTCAAACATATAACCCATTTGTAAAACTTATTTTAATGTGACCAAATAAGTCATTGGGAATAATTGTCTTTAATGTTATCACTTCAGGAACAAATTTCGGTGTTAATAATAATACGACGCGAGAAATACTGAAGTTGTACATTGGGATCGAACCTGCTTCCGTGAGGTATACCTGGAGTGGATTCTGGGAGTTCTTCTACTCCCCGAGCCCGGCCCGAGGCCAGGCTCAACTTTTGCGATAACTTGGTCCACCAGGCTGTTGCTTGGAGCGGCCTGCATGACAGCATACCCACTACAGCCCGGTTGGTCCACCAGGCTGTTGCTTGGAGCGGCCTGCATGACCGCATACCCACTACAACCCGGTTGGTCCACCAGGCTGTTGCTTGGAGCAGCCCGCAAGCCCACATACCCACCACAGCCTGGTTGGTCCACCAGGCTGTTGCTTGGAGCAGCCCGCAAGCCCACATACCCACCACAGCCTGGTTGGTCCACCAGGCTGTTGCTTGGAGCAGCCCGCAGGCCCACATACCCACCACAGCCCGGTTGGTCCACCAGGCTGTTGCTTGGAGCGGCCCACAGGCCCACATACCCACCACAGCCCGGTTGGTCCGGCACTGCCTACAGGAACCTGCCTAATAAATCTTGTCTTGAACACGTCCACTATACCCATACTCAGGAGCCAAGAGTAACTGCATAAACAAACAAAAAACATACCAAACGGCAGAAAGTATTTGAACACATTAACTACCGGACCTGTTCAATTACCCAGAGACGATCGTTAGTATGAGATAGTTTGAGAGAACAGCCTAGGAAGCCAACGAGGCAGTCGTTAATAACAGCTAACAAGGTCTTGCATCATGAACACGGGAACAAGAACAAACGTCTTACAAATCTTCGCAAAGAACAAACACACAAGTTATAAAAGTTGAGAAGGAAGAGAGTGGTATCCCTGCAGAACAAAGGAGAACGCTGCAGAGAACAAGTCACAACAACCTGGCTGCTCACCAAGACGGCCATCCCACACACCGGACAGGACACACACACACACTCACACGACGTTTGAGTCCATCCAGGAACCTTATCCAGACCCGACACACACACACTCACACGACGTTTGAGTCCATCCAGGAATCTTATCCAGACCCGAGTATCCTTAAATCACTAAGTGCAAGTCCCTATCCCGGTGTTCCTTGAGGGGATCTGAAGTTACTACTCCTATTATTAGTAGCATTCCTCCTTATCTTTCACCTCCTTCATTCCTTCTTATCTTTCACCTCCTTCATTCCTTCTTATCTTCCACCTCCTTCATTCCTTCTTATCTTTCACCATCTCTCACCAACACTCCTTACACACACACACACACACACACACACACACACACACACACACACACACACACACACACACACACACACACACACACACTGTTGATTGACGGTTGAGAGGCGGGACCAAAGGGCCAGAGCTCAACCCCCGCAAACACAACTAGGTGAGTACTAGGTGAGGTGAGTACACACCCCTCCAAGCATCTCATCTCTCACCAAGTCAACCTTTTCCACCTGTTCATGTCTCTCAAACACACCAAGTGCCCCACTACTGCAGCTGTAGAAACAGCAGCACCAGCAGCAGACACAGCAGCACCAGCAGCAGGAACAGCACCAGCACCAGCAGACACAGCAGCACCAGCAGCAGGAACAGCACCAGCACCAGCAGACACAGCAGCACCAGTAGCACCAGCAGACACAGCAGCACCAGCAGACACAGCAGCACCAGCAGCAGGAACAGCACCAGCACCAGCAGACACAGCAGCACCAGCAGCAGGAACAGCACCAGCACCAGCAGACACAGCAGCACCAGTAGCACCAGCAGCAGACACAGCAGTACCAGCAGCAGCACCAGCAGCAGACACAGCAGCACCAGCAGCAGCACCAGCAGCAGCAGACACAGCAGCCCCAGCAGCAGCAGACACAGCATCACCAGCAACAGACACAGCATCACCAGCAACAGACACAGCATCACCAGCAGCAGACACAGCAGCACCAGCAGCAGCAGACACAGCATCACCAGCAGCAGACACAGCAGCACCAGCAGCAGACACAGCATCACCAGCAGCAGACACAGCATCACCAGCAGCAGACACAGCATCACCAGCAACAGACACAGCAGCCCCAGCAGCAGACACAGCAGCACCAGCAGCAGACACAGCAGCACCAGCAGCAGACACAGCATCACCAGCAGCAGACACAGCAGCACCAGCAGCAGACACAGCAGCACCAGCAGCAGACACAGCAGCACCAGCAGCAGACACAGCAGCACCAGCAGCAGACACAGCAGCACCAGCAGCAGACACAGCATCACCAGCAGCAGACACAGCATCACCAGCAGCAGACACAGCAGCCCCAGCAGCAGACACAGCATCACCAGCAGCAGACACAGCAGCACCAGCAGCAGCAGACACAGCATCACCAGCAGCAGACACAGCAGCAACAGACACAGCAGCACCAGCAGCAGACACAGCAGCACCAGCAGCAGACACAGCATCACCAGCAGCAGCAGCACCAGACACAGCAGCACCAGCAGCAGACACAGCAGCAGACACAGCAGCACCAGCAGCAGACACAGCAGTACCAGCAGACACAGCAGCACCAGCAACAGACACAGCAGCACCAGCAGCAGACACAGCAGCACCAGCAGCAGACACAGCAGCACCAGCAGCAGACACAGCAGCACCAGCAGCAGACACAGCAGCACCAGCAGCAGACACCTCAGCAGCAACATCAGGATAAGTCCTGCCTCGTCCATAAAGCCCCATCACATTAATGTAGGAAACAGTGAAGGTGTTCGCACCACACTAGTGAGGAGGAGAGAGAGTGAAGGTGTTCGCACCACACTAGTGAGGAGGAGAGAGAGTGAAGGTGTTCGCACCACACTAGTGAGGAGGAGAGAGAGTGAAGGTGTTCGCACCACACTAGTGAGGAGGAGAGAGAGTGAAGGTGTTCGCACCACACTAGTGAGGAGGAGAGAGAGAGTGAAGGTGTTCGCACCACACTAGTGAGGAGGAGAGAGAGTGAAGGTGTTCGCACCACACTAGTGAGGAGGAGAGAGAGTGAAGGTGTTCGCACCACACTAGTGAGGAGGAGAGAGAGTGAAGGTGTTCGCACCACACTAGTGAGGAGGAGAGAGAGTGAAGGTGTTCGCACCACACTAGTGAGGAGGAGAGAGAGTGAAGGTGTTCGCACCACACTAGTGAGGAGGAGAGAGAGTGAAGGTGTTCGCACCACACTAGTGAGGAGGAGAGAGAGTGAAGGTGTTCGCACCACACTAGTGAGGAGGAGAGAGAGTGAAGGTGTTCGCACCACACTAGTGAGGAGGAGAGAGAGTGAAGGTGTTCGCACCACACTAGTGAGGAGGAGAGAGAGTGAAGGTGTTCGCACCACACTAGTGAGGAGGAGAGAGAGTGAAGGTGTTCGCACCACACTAGTGAGGAGGAGAGAGAGTGAAGGTGTTCGCACCACACTAGTGAGGAGGAGAGAGAGTGAAGGTGTTCGCACCACACTAGTGAGGAGGAGAGAGAGAGAGAGAGAGCGGTCGCCACGGGGGAACGAGCAGGTAAATATCACCAGGAGAACCCCAGAGTGACCTTACACCCGGCCAGTCAGTGAAAGGTGCCCGTTACGGAGGGAGAGTGGGCAGAGGGAGAGGTGTGAGAGGGAGAGTGGGCAGAGGGAGAGGTGTGAGAGGGAGAGTGGGCAGAGGGAGAGGTGTGAGAGGGAGAGCTGAGAGAGGGAGAGTGGGCAGAGGGAGAGGTGTGAGAGGGAGAGCTGAGAGAGGGAGAGCTGAGAGAGGGAGAGTGGGCAGAGGGAGAGGTGTGAGAGGGAGAGAGAGAGAGAAACAGAGAAACAGAAAGAGAGAGAAACAGAGAGAAACAGAAAGAGAGAGAAACAGAGAGAGAGAGAGAGCTGAGAGTGAGAGAGAGAGAAAGAGAGCTTTTCCTTTTGAAAACGCTTTTTTTTCCTTGAATGCCTATGTACATACAGCAATGTGCTGCCAACCGGTTGTAGAATTAGCTGTGAGTTTAATGGTATTGGCTTAATGGTTTGGGACCATTAACCAATGGTCCACCTCTCCCAGGATGGTTAGTCGTACTGTACACACACACACATGGAGCCTACAGGAAACACCTCATTGTTAGGTGGTTGTTTAAGATTCGCTACTTTG